CAAGACCGAGCTGCCGCACGCACGGAAGACAGAGTTGATGTATAAGCAGAAACAGTGACAGTAAACTATTACCTGCTATCCTGTCTGCCTTACTTTCCTAAAATACGACTGGGGGATATAACCAGTGTCGACGCAGGCACATCCAAGGTTATAACAGAGAGGAAGATTCGATCGCGGGGAAAATACTTTATTCGCCTGAGGTTTCGACATCCGTCGCGGATGCTTCATCAGGGCTATAAACGGAGAGCAGTAGCAGAAGCGGGTGACATATGCACAGGCATTTGCAGCATTTATAGAACGAAGTCATTACTGCACAGGTATGGCAAATAACGAAAATTAACGATAATTGCCCTCTTGTGTGTTGATGGCTTGATTACCGGCATGCGGCCCCTGACTTGCTGAACAATCAGTTTCTCCAATGTAGTTGCTGTGTCCGCAACTGCACCAAATCCTGTAGACGGCGCTAGCTGTTTCTTGCTAAGGCAGTGACCCACTGACAAAGCAACTACCTCGGAGAAACTGGTAGATTTCTCAAGACGCGAATTGCCGAACACGCGGCAGCAGTGCAGCGAAATGATGCCGATTCTCAAGTTGTGGCTCGTTACACGAGAACCGACCCCACATTCAAATTTTATGAGGCCAAAATTCTAACAAGAGGTCACAATCGGGTGAGCTGATAATTACTTGAGTCATGATTAACAGGACCCCAGTCCATAAACAAGTGCAACGACTTGCCCAATCCATATTCGGTACTAAAGCTCAACTTGGCCAAAGCAAGTCGCCACTCGGGGAACGCACAGGCCACCGCGTCATCTTGCGCCAACACCGGGCAACCAGGTTACCGAGCAATCGTCAGATCCAATTCCACCACGCGTAATGCAACTTCAGCAGATCACGGTCCGCATACCGGTCAGCAGGCAATCAACGCACGAGAGGGCAATTATCGTTAATGGTTGTTATTTGCCATACGTGTGCAGTAATGACTTTGTTCTATAAATGCTGCAAATGCCTGTGCATATGTCACCCGCTTCTGCTACTGCTCTCTGTTTATAGCCCTGATGAAGCATCCGCGATGGATGTCGAAACCTCAGGCGAATAAAAGTGTTGTCCCAGCGATCGAATCTCCTTTACGATAAAAACATATTTGGAGTTCGCAATCGACATAAATGAGCATCACGTCATCTTTTCTCCGGTAGAATAAACGGTCTGTGAATTTGCATAAGATTATTGGGGTCATGTGTGCATAACTGGATATTTCGCATCGAGACACATATGAGTTTCGTATGCTCCCCGTCTGTCTGATTACGACCTGGTGAGCCAGTGTCGAAAATTCACTCAATAAACAAAATTTTTTCCCAAAGAACTTCTTCTACCGAATTATATTTCTTAGGATGCCGACGTTCCAGTACATATGAGTCTATGCACGTTATAGATCACCGACGATGTGGGCCAGAGTACCAACTCTATCTGCGAAGCCAAAGCGCCAAGTTGATAATTATAACAAATTTTGACTTCGTACGCCAAATATATGCGCATAACCTCGTCTTCTTCCGCTGGTCTCTCTCTTTGGCGGAAAAGTGGTCCTTGAATTTTCTGAAGGTTATGGTATTCGTGTTTGTATTTTTCGATATTTCGCAAGAAGAGACGTATGAGTAAGTGATAGCTATAGATCCACGATTATTTTGGACGGATTACCAGCCCTATCTCAGAAAAAAAGCGCCTACGAAGGTGATCATTGTAAAGAGCCGTCCTAACCGACGCAT